GGGACCAAACGGTTCAGACATCAAAACTGCATTGGCTAATCGAATTCAAGCTTTATTTCCCGGATGGTGGAAGCGAATTCCTTTTGGCTCCCCATTTGAATTCGGATTATTCTATGCAAAGCTCAGGGGGGCGTTCCCCCAATTCGAACCGTTGTCGCGAGAAGGCAGGAGATGTCCGTTTCGAGTGATGGTGGTGGACTAATTCAATAATTGAGAAATTTGCGTTGCCACATCGATACAACAAAAACTAATGCGGGCGGGGTAGACTACCATATTCTGGACCAATCGATAGAAGCTCAATTTCCTGGTCTTGTTTCAATAATCCAAGAGGTCCTGTGGAACAAAGGTGCTTTAAAAGTTTTACTTGGTGGTTAGGTCCTGTGGAACAATGGATAGAAGTTCTGTTATTGCTTTGTTGGTTGTAACATTTGGTGGTGTTGCTTTTACTTCTGTGGCTCATTGTAAATTGACAGCTTGCTGGTTGATTTTTTATAGAGTATTTTTTTTTTTGTTGAATTTTGATCGACTACTTCTAATTGGCAGTAACAAACAGGAATTTATATCAGCTCATTGTAGATGCAATGCATAAATGTTCAAATTGTAACTAAGTTTTGGTCAAGCGTGTCAATCTCATACATGAATACCACATAGTTATGACAGAACTTTGTGTCTGCTCTTAAACCAGTTTCACAACACAAACATTTTTTTTTTTTTAGCAGCAGGAACTCCCCTAGGCAGGGTCCCTTCGCCCCAAGGATACCCTAGGTTACAAATCTGGGGGTGTAGCGCCTCGCCCCAAGGATACACCGGATGAGTCGGAGGACACGGATGGTTTGGGAGGAGTCGAACACTGGCCAGGTGTGTGCAAGTGCCAAGCTCCTACCATCACAACCAAGCCCCCAGGGGCATTTACAACACAAACTTGTTCATTTCTTCAGCTCATCTCGTAAAATAATCATTACAACTACTTGATAAATAAATAGTCTTTATCAGTATCCATTTCTTCAGCTCATCTCGTAAAACTGATAAAAGAAAATTCTGTTATGCAACTTTAAAGACTGTAAATAACAATTGTAAAGCCCATACACATTGGCAAGGCTAAATCATGGGCTTGTAGATGGTGGGCGTCTCATTCAAGACTACTTGAACACTTTAGTTTCGGGCTTTTCCCATACACATTGTGTTTACTAACCAGTCTTGAAATAGAACTTTGGGCTTCAGCTGGAGCCCAATGTGCAAGTCCACAGGTTTGTTTCGGGCTTTTCCCATACACTTTGGGTTTACTAACTAGTCTTGAAATCGATCTTTGGGCTTTAAAAGATGGGCTTCAGTTGGAGCCCAATGTGCAAGTCGAAATGGATTCATATGTTTACGAAGGTAGCATTAATTAGTAACAGGATCAATTGAGCATTGCTAAAATCACGAGTAGCATGTAGGATTACTAAGAAGCTGTGTTTGGTGAAAAAAAATTATAAAAAAAATAGGATAGTGAGCAGAGCTATTCATAGATGTAAAAGTTACGAGTACATACATATATATACAAGAAAATATAATGGTCAAAGGCATAGTATGTACGCATGTGTTATTTTCAAGTCATGAATATATGTAAAGGTAAATACAAAAATAAGACAGTGAGCATAGTTATTCACATGGATGAATGTAAAATATATATATATATATATATGCACACTCCCTTTGTTCCATATTAAAAGTTTACTTCGAAAACTGTAATTCACAATTATGTATTATTGTAACAAGTTAGTGTGACAAGACATGAAATTAATCTTGGGATCAATCCCTAACATCGTGGTTAATCCAAACTGTGACAGCATGCAAAATCCTATTTGGATAATATGGAGAATAGTCCAAGCAACTAATAATTATTATTTAAATGATTGAGGGCATTTTGAGAAGTGTAAATATTCCCTATAGTCCAAATAATAGTTGACAAAGAGTGGAGATGGATGGAAATATTTAAAGGACTTGAATTTTGGACCTATAATGTTTTACTATGCTCTCTTTCTCTCAAATAAGTTGAAAAAGCATAATTATTTTATTTTATATGTTGTAGGGTTCAATATAAGAGAAAATGCATGCATCTATTTAAATTTTTGCTTGATAAAATGGGTCATTTGAAAATTATATAAGAATTCAATGGGCACATTTATATAATTAATTAAAAATACATATACATCATATAAATAAGGGTGAATTGCAAAAAAAACCTCCTCAACTTTCACCTGTTTGCAAAAAAAACTCCTTATGAATATCTTTAGCAATTAACCCCTCTCAATTATCATGAGAGGTCATTTTAACTAACATCTGTTAGAGTGATTGTGTGAGGAAAATTTTCGGACAAAATTACCCTTAACATGAAACATCCGTTTGAGTGATTGTGTGATAAAATTTTTGGACGAAATTACCTTTAAAATCAAAATAATACATTAGTATTACTAAAGTACCCACCGCGCACATTTTTTTTTTTTTTTTTTAACTAAATAAAACACTAAAACAAGGCCTTTGATTTTTTCTTGGAAATGTTCTTGCATTTAGAATATATATAGTAATATGGTAGTTATTTATCAAATGTCAACTTAAATTAATTTTGGTGAGAAAAAAAAAAAAAATTTGTACTATGATTTTTTATAAAAAAGATGAAAAAAAAGATATATATGAGAGATCCAAAAATATCAGTACCATGATTTTTTATAAAATTTAAAAGTAGAAATGTATTGGGATTAAGATTTATGATGTTGAAATAAATCAAATTTTATGTCACAATAAACTCTTTTTCTACAGAATAAATAAATAATTAAAGATAGTCTAAACAAATATTTGTTATTTAAGAGAATTATCTTTTGACTATAAAAAAATAAAAAATAAAAAAACAAGTGTGAAAAATGTTTTGGGGGTGGGGGAGGGGGGTTTTGTTTTGATATTATTGTGGACGCCACTGGATTCTTTTTGAGTATGCTATATCCATAATTTTTTAGAATCTTATAAAATTCTAGTTTTAAATTTTTTTAAAAATCATGATACTGATATTTTTGGATCTCTGGTATATATATATATATATCTCTTTCTTTCTCTTATTTTATAAAAAATCATGGTACAAGTTCTTTTCTTTTCTTTTTTTTTTTTTTTCACCAAAATCAATTTAAGTCGACATTTGATAAATAACTACCATATTACTATATATATTCCAAATGCAAGAATATTTAGAAAGAAAAAATCAAATTCCTTGTTTCATAATAAGAGCCCTCGTTTTAGTGTTTTATGTAGTTAAAAAAATAAAACAAATTGAGTGGTGGGTTACTTTAGTAATATAATGTATTGTTTTGATTTTAAGGGTAATTTCGTCCGAAAATTTTATCACACAATCACTCTAACCGAGGTTAGTTAAAATGACCCCCTCATGATAGTTGAGGGGAATTAATTGCTAAAGATATTTATAAGGGGGTTTTTTACAAACTAGTGAAAATCAAGGAGAATTTTTTACAATTCGCCCTATAAATAATAAGAAAGCCAATTGTTGAGCTAGAACTCATCTTTGTCTAACAAACATCATCTAGACCCATTCTAATTTCAATTATCTCATTTAATAGGACCACAAACAAATCCAACAATTTAGATTTTTCTTAATTCATGTTTGTTTATTTTCAAGATAAACTAAACTTAAACAAATGTGAAATATCATGGACTACTAATTTATGAAAGAATTGATCTCAAACATATTTTTGTTTGTAAACACATTTGTGAAGACTATTACTTAAGTTAATTTTTAACTATAGATAAATTCGACTAATATGAATAAAGACGTATATCATTAAATGGATATTAAGATATTTATCATTAATAATATCATAATGATGTCAGCATCCACTCACATAAATTACTTCTAATTGTTTTGATTTTTAAACTCCAAATCATTTTAAAACACAAACACATATACAATTATATATATATTTTGAAAGGTACAATTTCATATTTTTTTTTGAAGTTAAAACCTAATTAAGAGATTTATGCATTTTAATAATAAACAAAGCCCAAGCCCAATCAATTCAAACCATCTCAATTTGTTATATTAAAAACAGCCCAAGACCATTAGTTTCCAGGCCCATTTCTAGAAACCCCAACTCTCATTCTCTTCCTCTCCGTCCACACGTTCCAAACCACCGGCGACTCGCAGCTGTGGCGGCACAACTGGATCGGTTTAACCATGATCGGCGACCGCTACACAACAGTAAAACACTAGCTGAATCAGGTTAGTGGTCTCTATCTCGTGCGTTCGTACACACACTTCTGGTCTCACTTCTTTATTCTATATGTTATTGGCATGAATGATGAAACTGGGGGTGCTTTTTGATTTGATTGAAAGCTCGAAACTCTGGAGATCAAATATTAGGAAAGATCGATAACCAATGACGAGTGTATTCATAAATACATCATATACGGTTTGTATTAATGCTTCGTTTGGATCGAGTGATTTGGACAGATTCGAAAAGAAAAGGAAAGGAAAGGAAAGGAAAGAAAAGAAAAATAGTGAAAATGGTGTTTGGATAACTTTTAGCGGATAGAAAAGAAAAAGAAAAAGAAAAAATAGTGAAAATGGTGTTTGGATAACTTTTAGCGGATAGAAAAGAAAATGAAAAAGAAAAAGAAAAATAGTGAAAATGGTGTTTGGATAACTTTTAGCTGATAGAAAAGAAAAGAAGAAGAACGATATAACATTTTATAAAAGAATGATGATAGTAATTTAATTTTTATATTTTCTTTTTTTTACTCTATCTTTTATCTTTTCTTTTCTCATTGGAATAAAAGTAATTGCTATTATTATTATTATTATTATTATTATTATTATTATTTTTAACTAACATTATCATTTCTTTTCCTTTTCTCTTATGCTTATCTTATCCAAATGTAGTCTAAATGATTTATAGATAAGAATAAATTAGTTCACAAGCCAAGCTCTAGCACTGCCAAGCCGAGCTTGATCTTGGTTAGGCAAATCTCGGTGCTCATCTGTATTGAAAAGTGTTGTAATTTCATCATATGAAAATGATTTAGCGGATTTAAGTCCTATATCCACTCCATCCAATTTAACATTGTAATAATGCTTATGTAGCATGTGACCACGGCTTTTCAAAAGTTCTTGTACCATCACCACGCAATATCACATCAACATCAATATCTAAACTTGAACTGAAATTAGAGTTTTACCTTGATATTATTATTATTATTATTCGAACAATATAGAGGTTCAGGCTTGGAGTTCCTCTAGTACTCCATCAGCTTCTCTCTTCTCTAGGATCTTGCAGGTGCAATCGAGTTTTTTCTCCTTGTCAGCCTTTGCTACTTCCCCACTCTCCACTTTGCCATTTTTGTTGTTGCCTAGAGTTGCATTACTTCTGCATTGGAGGAGGATCTCTTTGGTACACATTTGCAGCTTCTCTACAGCTTCCTCATCTGCTTGTTACATGTGCATACAGTACTCATATCAGTTTGGCAGCAAAAACACCAAATTGATATTCAGTTTAGAGGTACTCTTATTTCCTCCCCCCAAAAAAAAAGAAAAGAAAACCCAATATTGTCCAAATTGCCAAATTTCAACCTTAATTCGAATAAGATTAAATATGCAGGAAATAGATTATGGCTTTCCGCCCCTTTATTTTAACACAAGTTGTCCTGATCTTCCTTTCAGAGATACTAACTGGGATAAGCCCTTGCCTTGGTGGTAAAGTGGGTATCTTTTTTTTACCATAATATAGGAGATGGTTTGTGTTGGTTACACACACTTGACAATGCTTTACACATCAACTTAAACACCTTGCTCCTATGTCAATTCGACCAGAAGGATGAAACATGGTCATGTTCGTTTTGAGACCCTCGTGCCTCATCCTGAGCCTGAATTTAGGAGTGAATGAGGGATAAAAGTAGATAAAGAGAGATTGTAACCCACCTAGTCTTGGGACAGTGTGGCCTTGGGGGTGCCTTATGATGAGAGGGTTGTCGAAGGCTGTGGCGAGCTCTTCAGACGGCAATCTCAACCAGTCCTTGGCTCCTATGAAGTGTACTGATTTGACCTTGATGGGATCTTTGTAGGCAACCTCACATATGCTTGGATCCCTGAACTTTGACCCTGATATTGATACGAACATTTTCATGGGTGGATGCTCCTTCAACACCCTTCCCTGCATGTTAATCCACGAGTTTCTATCCTTAATGGCTATTGTTGTAAAAATTTCAAATTGTCTAATGACTGGGCCATTGACCCATGTTTTAATGTCTCTTCCCTTAGGGGGAGATGTGGATTTGAGGCCCATAGTGGACATCTGTCGGTTGTGTGCAAGTATTTACCTAACCAAAAAAAAAGTAAAAAATGTGCGTGTGTGAGAGAGAGAGTGAGAGAGAGAGAGGTGCAGCAAGCTTCGACGCACCTGTACTTGATAACCCAGTAGAAGAGCTGATAGTGTTGCTCCCTGAATAGAAAGAGGAATGCGTAAGTGAACATTCATGAATTAGTTGGATGTACAATGGCCTTCACTCATACCATTAGGCTGTGATATTTGCGGGTTGTTGTACTTGGAATTGATCTGATAAAATTTTTGGGGGAGAATTGTTGAAGGGGCTTGAAAGTGTGTGGTATACCATAACACAATTAAACTCTAAAAATCACTAACATAAATTCAGTACTAGGATGTGATTTAAACTTCATACATCGAATTTCAATTTACAGTACCACATGAGCTCTAATTTAAAGAAATGCTTATTTAATGACATCAGTATTAATTTACACCCCTGAAAATAATTGTTTTTTGCTTTTGTTAAACAGCTATAGAACGAAGCATTGGTACATGCCTGAGAGAAGCCGAGCAAACCATCAAAAGGACCTTTGCTTGTTATGTATTCACACAAGTAAGAGATGCATTCTTCCAAATTTGTGTACTCCGTGAATTCCTGATCAACAAATATATCATTAATAAATTTCGGCTAATAAATAGCTCAAATATTTCCACCAAAAAAATAAATATAATTATGCTATTATATGCCACCGTGCCATTGTGGGCATAATGGGCATTTGTGAGCATGGTGCCCATTGTCAAACTTTGAGCTAATAATTCAACTCAAGAAGTGAACATATGTAGGGATTTGTGTGACTATTTACGAAACTAAAAAAAGATATGCTCTTATATAATTTGCTTAGTTGCGTGCTTGCACGCATAGTGACATACCTCGTTGAATTGGAACCACTCGAAATAAGGTGGTGGAAATATGCCCTCTATGTCGGATTTGCCTCCTGCGGGGTAGGTTCCATCTGGAAAGTCCTGTAATGGTTTGTCACATAATGGTTTATTTGAAGTACTTACAAATTTACTATGTATCTTTTAAGTATTGTCAATTACAACATAAGATAACTTCTTAATTAGTGTAGAAAACGAGGAAATGAAATCAAGCCTGCCAATTTTTTAGCTTTTGCAGCCGAACTTAATAAAATTGTTGTACAATAATACATGTATATTTGGAAGTATATATCAATGTTTTATTTTTGTTTTAAGTGGTAAAATCTAGTCCCAGGCACCAACTAGCCTTGGAGAGGAACGACTAACATAATTCTTTTCATTAAATGAGTACCACGGGTTGTAAGTGTTGCAACCTGCAATTGTCGGTTGTCGTATACAATTTCTCTTTAAAAATTACATCTTTTAAAAAATATTTATTTATAGACGTTTCATTTTCACCAAACATGATGGACTTCGTCATCAAGAACCAGTGAACTACATATTTTATAGTCTTTCTTATCCCTTTCCAAAATTCAAAGTCTTGTTGCTTTTTTTCATAATCTTACGAGTGATCAGCAATAACATATTAAATTTGAAGTCTTCTTTTAGTGGACCCTTGCCAAAATTCAAAACCTAAAAGAGAATCGAAGTGTTTTTTTTTTTTTTTTTTTTTTTTTGTAGTAATAATGGATGATTCAACTTCATTAGGACTTTTAAGATTAGATGGTGGGCTTAATGCTATGCAACAAAACAGAATAAACAGAGAAAGATACAGATTGGAATTAAGATATATATACCATGTCAAAATGAGCAAAGATAGAAGGATCCCATTTGCTGATTTGCTTTTTCAAGAAACTCCCACTGGTTCTAAATCCATGGAGACACAATATCTTCATCTTCTTAATTTCTTTGTTTGCTTCCATTCTACACTTACTAGGTCACTCAAATCAGCTCACAACAATGAAAGTTTTTGATGAGAGAAAGACTGGTCCATGGTCCTCTTTGTATTGGAGTTCTCTTCCCACCTAACCCAAAATTTAAGAACCCAACTACCCTCAATGCATGGTTGGGTTTGGTTGTTGGGAATCACATGTGCATCCACCGAATTGTATGTCTAGGACTGAAACGTCGACGTACCATTTATACGATTAAAAAAAGAAGAAGTGATTAATGGGCATACTTGTTTAAGTCTCTCTCATAATGTAATTGTATTGGTTAAAGCGATTAATAGTTATACTTGTTCAAATCTCACGTAATGTCGTTCTATTATTATCTATTGGTTACTTATGTTTGACGTTGTTTATTTGCTTAAGTTTTTTATTTTAAAATAACTTTTCAATAGCAAAATAATATCCACCTGCCTCATCCCAATAACGTTTGATTGATATATTGTTGAATTTATACATGCACTAGTACATGGTAATATATTGAACACTAACAAATATATATAAATTCGTGTATATATGAATAAAGGAAATGCATAAATATATATATGCATTTGTAAAGCTTTTGTCGAGTTATGTTGAATTCAACATACTTAAGTAGTTGCTGTTGTGCGGAAGCGTGGCTTAACAAATGAATAATGGTGGTTCTGATCACACACACAAGAAGAATACACTCACAAAATCATAAATAGGAAAAAACACACACACAAAAAGAAGACAAAGATTTACGTGGTTCGGCAATGTGCCTGCGTCTACGGGAGCTCAAGATCAATGTACTAATATCAAAACCCAAAGGGTTACAAAAGGCTCACAAATGAGAAAATAAATATTATTTTTTCCAAACTCTCTTTGCTCACTTGAATGCTCTTGGATGATTTTCGAATGAATGAAACTATGAGATACAAGGTTTATTTATAGCCAACAAATCTCCTTTATGATGTAAGTAAAGCCTGATGTAAGCGATGACATATGCAAAGCTTGAGGTAAGCGATGACATATGCAACTGATGATGTAAGCGATGACATATTTTGAACCATTTTTCAAATTTGAAACTCCAAATTTGTCAACAATCTCCACCTTAGCGAAAAATTCTGTACACCTTTTCAAACATGATATTGAACTGCCTCCAATTGCGCCCAAAAGCGCTCATACTCGCAGGATGTTAATCAAGTCTAAGCAATGCTCAAACTTGACCTTCGTTACAACCTTCGTTAGCATATCTGCGGGATTATCTGCAGTCCTAATCTTCTGAAGAAGAATATCGCCTTCATCCAAAATTTCATGAACAAAATGGAAACGGACATCAATGTGTTTTGTATGTGAATGATGAACCTGGTTCTTTGCCAAATAGATAGTACTTTGGTTGTCGCAGTAGACATCAACATGCTCCTGAAGAATCCCCAAGTCCTCAATCAACCCATGTAGCCATATGGCTTCCTTAATGGCCTCTGTCACTGCCATGTACTTTGCCTCTGTTGTAGACAAAGCAACTGTAGGCTGTAATATTGACCTCCAACTCACCGGTCCTGTAGCAAGTGTGAACACATAACCTGTAGTTGATTGACGTTTATCCAAATCACCAGTATAGTCCGAATCCACATATCCAACCAAATGCTAACCAAGTCTATCATCCCGCTCAAATTTTAAACCAACATCTACAGTACCATGGATGTACCGTAGAATCCATTTCACTGCCTGCCAATGACCTTTACCTGGGTCATGCATATACTTACTCACCATACTAGCGGCCTGTGAAATGTCGGGTCTCGTACACACCATTGCATATATAAAACTTCCAACTGCGCTCGCATACAAAACATAAGCGATTTGCACACGCTCTTCATCTGTGCATGGAGATAATGAAGCACAAATCTTAAAATGAGGGGCCAAAGGGGTACTTACAGGTTTAGTATTCGAGTCTATACCAAACTGATGTAACACTTTCTTCAAATATTGCTTCTGAGACAAACAAGCATTGCCCTTCATTCTATCTCTTCTAATCTCCATCCCAAGTATCTTCTTAGCTTCACCAAGATCCTTCATTTTGTACTCAGTACTTAACTGAATCTTTAACTTATCAATTTCAACTTTACTCTTAGATGCAATCAACATATCATCAACATATAAGAGCAAATATACAAATGATCCATCACGAAGCTTACGAAAATACACACAGTGATCAAAATGGCTTCTTGTGTACTGTTGCCCTTTCATGAACTGATCAAATCGTTTGTACCGCTGCCTTGGACTTTGTTTCAACCCATACAACGACTTCTTCAGTTTGCAAACCCAATTTTCCTTACCAGCAACCTTGAATCCGTCTGGCTGAGATATATAGATCTCCTCCTCCAAATCTCTATGTAAGAAGGCAGTTTTGACGTCGAGTTGAGCTAACTCGAGGTCAAACTGTGCAACCAAAGCTAGTAAAATTCGAATGGAAGAGTGTTTTACAACAGGTGAAAACACCTCATTATAATCAATCCTTTCCCTTTGCGCGTAGCCTTTCGCCACCAATCTAGCCTTAAATCTCACACTGTCTTGCCCTGAAGAACCTTCCTTCTTGGTGTATACCCACTTGCACCCAATCGCCATCTTTTCCTTTGGAAGCTGGACCAACTTCCAAGTCTGATTCGTATGAAGAGACTGCATCTCCTCGTCCATTGCTTTATTCCAATCTACACTTTCTGAACTTCTAACAGCTTCTGCATAGGTAAATGGGATGTCATCATTAACTATGGGTAGTGTGTTTGCCACCATATCAGTAAACCGTGCAGGTCTCTTTATTTCTCTTTTTGATCTACCAATTGCAATAGAATATGGTTGCTATGGAGACTCTTGGGTAGGAGCCTCCTCTTCATCTGTACCTGTTTCCTCATCATCTGAGTTACTGACAAGTCTAGCTGAAACAATTGGAGCCTCAAGCTCCACCTGCTGCGAAACTTCTTTGGTCATGTTCTCTGTAGAAGAATTTTTCAGCATAGAAGACTCATCGAATGTAACATCACTGCTATTAATGATTTCTTTCAACTCGGGGCACCAAAGTCTATTCCTTTTTACGCCTTCACTATAGCCTAAGAATATAGCTTTCTTGGCTCTAGGATCCAACTTATTCTCTTTAACATGAAAGTAGGCAGTACAACCAAAAATTCGCAGAAAATCATAATCGGTAGCAGGTTTCCAAACTATATCTCCATGGGCGTTTTGCCCTCATTCGCAGCTGCAGGCAACCTATTGATGAGATGGCATGCGTATGTCACAGCCTCAGCCCAAAATGCTTTGCTCAATCTAGCATTGGACAATGTACATCTAACCTTTTCTAACAAGGTTCGATTCATGCGTTCTGCCACCCCATTCTGTTGTGGCGTGTCTCTGACTGTAAAGTGTCGAACAATACCCTCATCCTGGCATACTTGCAAGAATGGGTCCGATGTGTATTCACCCCCATTATCGGATCTCCATCATCTTCTTCCATTTCAAGAACACTTTTAAGACTTCATCTTTATGTTTCATGGTGTACACCTATACTCATCTAGAGAAGTCATCAACAAATGAGACAAACCAATGCTTACCTCCCAAAGATGCAACTCTGGTAGGTCCCAAACATCTATGTGAACATAGTCAAGTATTCCCTTCGTGCGGTGTACTGCTGTGCCAAACTTGACTCTTGTCTGCTTGCCCAGAACACAATGTTCACAAAATCCAAGCTTGCAAGTCTTGGCACCTTTCAATAGACCCTGTTTCACTAGTCCCTACAAAGCCTTCTCACCTGCATGTCCCAAGCGTACATGCCACAATCTGGTAGCATCTGATGCATCTCCTTTTGAACTGCCTGCAACAGCTGCTGTGCCTGTAACTGTATTTCCAATGAGAAAATACAAATTACTTTTCTTTGTACCCTTCATCACAACTAGAGCTCCATAGGTCACCTTTAGACCATCGCTTTTCAGTGTGATCTCATAACCTTTTGCTGCCAATAATCCAAGTGAGATGAGATTTTTCTTTAAATCCAGTACATACCGGACATCTTCGAGAACTCTGACTGTTCCATTGTGCAACTTCAAACGGATCTTTCCTATCCCCCTTGTTTGACAGGCATGATCATTGCCCATGAAAACAGCTCTACCGTCCAGCTCCTGGAAACTGGAGAACCACTCTCGGTTGGGACACATGTGATAGGAACAACCCGTATCCAATATCCATGCATCATGAGAATTGGATCCAACTGATATAGTCAAAGCAAACTCTGCAGCTTCATCGTCACTGCTAACAATGTTGGCGGCAATCTTCTTGTCATCCTTGTTTTTCAATTTAGGACAATCCTTCTTCCGATGCCCTTTATTATGACAAAGGGCACATTCATGTTTGGCAAGATTTTTCTTGCCCAAAGTTGATGCTCTTCTTGATCTGGATTGAGATCTTCCACGGCTACCAGACTTTTTCTGATCTGTTCTACCACGTACTGTTAGAGCTTCAGCTGTTGAGTCTCTATCAACCTCCTTATCCTTCTTGCGAAGCTCATTATTCACGAAGGTATTAGAGATATCAACATATTTAATTTCTTCTTTTCCATATAGTAGTGTGGTAGTCAAATGTTCATATGAATCAGGCAGAGAATTTAACAATAATAATGTTTTATCTTCATCATCAATTTTAACATCCAAATTTTGCAAATCAGCAAGAATTTTGTTAAAATTATCTAGATGTTTGGACATTGACATACCTTCTTTATAATCAAACTGGAAGAGCTTCTTTTTCAAATAGAGCCGATTTTCAATGCTCTTTGTCATATACTTCTTCTCCAGTTACGTCCAAAGCTCGTCTGCTGAAACTTCATGCATGAAAGGATATTTCTGATCCTTTCCGAGATAAAGCCGAATTTGACCACAAGCCTTACGATTGATCTTTTTCCAATCTTGTTCCTTCATTTCTTCTGGTTTCTCCTTCCCCAGAGCAGTGTCTAAATCTTGTTGAGTCAGAGTATCCATAACTTCGCATTGCCACATGTTGAAGTTATTGCGCCCATCAAATTTTTCAATATCAAATTTTGCGGTTGCCATCTTCTTTTTCAACTATCACGATCACCGAAAAGAACTGAACCGTGGTGCTCTGATACCAATTTGTTGTGCGGAAGCGTGGGCCCAACAAATAAATAATGGTGGTTGTAATCACACACACAAAAAGAATACACTCACAAAATCATAAATAGGAGAAAACACACACACAAAAGGAAGACAAAGATTTACGTGGTTCGGCAATGTGCCTACGTCCACGGGAGCTCAAGATCAATGTACTGATATCAAAATCCAAAAGGTTACAAAAGGCTCACAAATGAGAAAATAAATATTATTTTTTCCAAACTCTCTTTGCTCATATGAATGCTCTTGAATGATTTTCGAATGAATGAAATTATGAGATATAAGATCTATTTATAACCAACAAATCTCCCTGATGATGTAAGCAAAGCCTGATGTAAGCGATGACATATGCAAAGCCTGAGGTAAGCGATGACATATGCAACTACTTATGTAAGCGATAACATATGCAACTAATAATATAAGCGATGACATATTTTAAGCCATTCTCCAAATTTGAAACTCCAAATTTGTCAACAGTTGCACCGCGCATGACTACTTAAAAGGGGAGTAAAAGAAAGACGGTGACAAAAGAAAGACATGGTGACCGGTTACAAGAATGACAAACTACATGGTAAACACAGGGACCACGTACTAGAAACCTCACGAGTTGTTTAAAAACTTGCACAAACAATTCAATCCCAATAAAGAATCCTCAAGTTCCACAATTTGTTGTAAACTTATAAATCATGTTTTGGTAATTACCACTTGCCTACAACCTCGTACTATAAACTATTGGTACTAGAAAATATGAAGAAACTGGGATAAGAATCAACATTTATTTAAAGACAAGTCCTCTCTCATTACGCTTTTGCTAATTGCTCCAGTATTATCACCTTCACCAATCACAGCGTCAGTAGTGATGGAGATTAAACATTTTGTTGCAAAAGTATAAAAATCATATACAGTATTGTTTAATTACCACTTGCCTACGATGTAGGCTACTGCAATACTATAAAGTTTATAAACTATTCCTACTAGAATCAACATTTATAGTCAACCCTCTTTCTCATTATCCATTTACCTCTCTCGTCTCCTCCTCTACGCATGTGCCTTTGCTATTTGCTCCAATATTCTCTCCCTTACCAATTATAGCTAGTGTCAATACTGATGGAGGAGATTCAACATTTCAGCCATGAACATCCATTGTTCATCAAGAATATTATTGATAATATAAGTTGTTCTGGGTGCAGAGAAATCTGCTCTGGTCTAGCCTATTCTTGCGCGTTTGAATACTGCAATTTTAGGCTCCACAGGTCGTGTGCTAAGTTGCAGCTTGTTATGAAACATCCCCTCCACCCGCAACATACTCTCTCCCTCGTCTTCAAAACAGATGGTCGTGAATACGTTGCCTGTGGGAACGATTCCAATAATTTTTCCTACAGGTGTTCTGAGTGTCCATTTGAATTCGATTCTAAATGTGCTTCGCTCACGCCCACCCAAGACCACCAAAGTAGTCATGATGATCGCCACCACCAAATTCAACAGTTTGGCCAAACTCATCCATTGATTCAATACCACACCAATAAGAATATGGCCCTGAGATGCTCTGTTTGCCAGCTCCCTTTTCAGGACTACTTGGCCTATCTTTGCCTCCAATGCAAGTATTCACTGCAATAATCATGTGCAGAATTACCAGCGGAAAACAACCACCCCTTTCACCCACAACACCCTCTCACCCTCCTCCTTCAACCACCGCGTTCATTTGGTGTTCCATGCATCGCATGTGGAGTTGATATTATTGGTTTTGTCTACTACTGTTCATGTATAAGCAAAAGACACATGGTAAATGCAATGCAAGATGACGAGCATTTCTATCCGTGTGCCAGATGTGTTTCACTAACACCCAACATAAGATGTACACTCCATGAGCATCCTCTTGTTTTCATAAATGTTCAGCGTCAGGGTCGGTTTTCATGTAACATTTGTAGTAAGATGATTGAACGCCCTTACTTTCAATGTGTGAGCTGCAATTTCACTTTCCATGTCCATTGCCCTGCAATATTGTCGGTTATAATCAAAATTGACTGTCACTTACATCCTCTCACCTTACCAATTCTCCAATCAAGGACAGCCCGGATGAAGAGGATGACTCGGACTTATACTGTGTGATGGTTGCGAAGAAAGAAGAAACTTATCTCAAAGCACTTATTATTGTGAGGAATGTCACTTTGTTGCTCATATTGACTGCAACTACGTGGTCTCTAAGGTACGCCCCCATTTTAAAATTTAAGAACCTTTTTAATTACTGTAGTTTTTTATTTTCAGATTTCTAAAAAATATAAATAAATAAATAATTCCTTAGAGGAAGAGATCAGTGGTAGAAAAAATATAACTCATTTTTGTCCGACCCTAATGGGTCTATTTATTGCTTATGTGGGTTCTTATTAGATTGTACGAACACAAGGGGAAAAGTCGGCCTTGGCTTGGAAGCATGAGGATCTTGTGGACCTTGCCCGATCGGCACTAGATGAAGAGATCATGGTGCTTCGCATGCAGATAGGGAAAGAAAAAGAAAAAGTAGAAGCTAAAAAAGCAAAAGTAGAGGATCGAAAAACAAAAGTAGAGTTGCTGATGACCACGGTAGAAGCCCTTGAGAAGAAGCGCTTGGAATGCCACCCAAGCAACATGTCGGATTCATTTTTAGATGGTTTATCGTTGGATTGAATTTTGCAATTGCGGGTTTAACATTTTGCATGGACTATGTCTAATGATTGGTTAAGCATGTAATGCTTCATTTGAACTCCAAGCCTCAAAATGCTTTCACATGAATTGGATTGATTTAAGGTTGGTTTTGGATCGATCTACAGAAAAACATGATCTTTTTAAAGGCCCCAAAAATGAAGATTGATCAAAAGATTTATGAGGTAAGCAAGGGATAGATTTGTTTCTCTTGTTTATAAGAAACGGGTTACAAAAGTAGGGTGTCTTGAATCCACAAAAATAAAGAAATAAAATTTTTTAAACACCTGTTGTTATATTGATGTATAATTGAACCAAATTCCATTTATTATTATTTTTTAAAAAATAAAAAAATATTTCAACTGAAATCTTAACTACAACATTAATTAAGGGATAACAAAATATTCCGCTTTGTCGACTAGTCGCCCCACCTTGTCTCGTTTAGAGCGATTCTAGGGATGATTAAATGATTTCGGGAGAAGGTTGTGCTGCCCTGTTTATAGTAAGAAATTATTATATAATTTGCTTAATTTATATTTAATAATATGAAATATAAATTAAGCAAATCCTAATATATTCTTTTTGTAATATTCTTATTTGAAAACTTATATTGTATGTATTATTTTGATATTCCTGTAATAATATTAAGGGAAAAAAATTATTATTAGTTAAAATTTTATTTTATTATTTATTGTTTAAATTCGTAATACTATTGAAAAAATATTTTACAAAATTCGTCTTTTTAGAGAGGGGACGGAAATGAAAAATTGGAGATAACTAATGATAAATGAGGATAGAAATGAGAATTGCATTCCCTACCCAAATCAACCCATGCACCATTACATTTCAATAATTCGGGGCTTTTCACTCGTTGACTAAACTCATTGAAATTTTAATTTAAATTTTTTTTAGCCTACTTTTAAATGTTGAAATATAAATTCATTGTTTGTAATTTTTTTCAGTACAATATATCATTGATTTATTTTTATTTTCATTTTCATATAAACAAATATAATATAAGAAATTGGAAGTTTTAGTTGAAAATTTTCGGTTAAAGCTTCTCCAAGTCCTCATCCTTAGGCATACTATTATCCCGTGGAATTGCAGAAAATTTTGTGCTTCAGCTGCTTCTGGATCATAGTTCTGACTTCTGGTCAGGGAAATCATCGACCCGACCCTTCTTCTTTGTTCGTATTACAGGAGGTTGATGACACCATTTTTTTCTTAATTTTAATTTTAGTGGATAATTAATGTTCATTTATATAGAATCGAGAACCAGTTTCTTTAGATAGCTTCAAGTGCCAGGCTTTGATCTTCGATCTCATCCTCTGTTATTTCATTGCTTTGCTTTGATTTTATTTATTTATTTATTTATTTATTTTGGGGTCTTTCGCTGGTTTTTTTATGTGATGATACGAATACTTGTTTTAGGGTTTCAAAATTACCAGAAGCCCTAACAATCGAAGGGAGAAATTACCGAGAGCTTGTGGTCTGAATCGCTGAGGGAAATCGCACAGGTTAGTTCTTCTTCTCCGAACTCTCATTTCTCTCTTCGTTTCTCCCTCTTATTCTTCATCACTTTCAGATAATTTACAGTACTGCCGCGTGTTTGAAACCTATTAGCTGATATTTCGTGACTCCGTTTGGTTGGTTGGAAAAGCTATCTCAATAGAAAAGTAATTGCTATAATTTTAATTTTTATTTTTATGAGGACTCTAGAAGCAAAAAAAGGGTCCAGAACAAGTATATTGGCCAGTTGGTTTTAGGGTTTCACATTCTCATTGAAATCTGAAAATTTGTTGTCTTGATGGTAATATTCGGATATTTTATATATCCGCCCCCAGTTTATAATTTTTAGCTTTGGGATTATTGAATTCTGATTCTTTGCTTATAACATCATGGTTGAAGTTACATTGTATTGTGTTCAACATTTGGTTTCTTTGTTCTTGTTGGATATTAGTACCATCACTACGGTTTTTTTTTTTTTTTTTTAAATTATTATTATTATTTATCTATCATTTCCCGCTAAATTGTCAGTACAGAGTAAAATCCAAGCCAGTATGTATCTCTCTGATCTTGTATATGGTGTTGACATTTTTTCCATTAAAATGTTTAAACAACTGTGTTTCATTGGTATTGATCCTTGGTATGGTAGACATTTACTTTCTTTTCACCAGAACAATTCAGTAGCGCATAAGTTGACCAATGAGGCTTCAAATTTAAGTTTTATGACACTTTGGATCCGGATCACCTCCCTCAAGCAGTTGCTTCTGCAGCTTTCAGGATTTAAGACATCTGGGTTTTATTTAGTTCTCCTTTTGTTTGTTTCATTGTTTGCTCAAGAGGAAAAGAAAATCATTTTTTTGGATTAGCACCTCAGATGGGATTCACATAATTAATGTTATACCTCCACACTCTAGCTACTGTAGGAAGGGATTCCTCATGGTCAGCCCAAAAACTAAAGAATTTGCATGGAATTCCTTTGTTTACAAGTGACAGGAGTGAACTTCATTTGATAAAAACTTCATAAGTATAGTTGATTTGTTTCATCTGCAAATAATCACTTGATAAAAACTTTATTTTTTGTTTCTTTTATAATAGTAATGTTATGGAGAATTCAGGCCAAAACTCTGTGTCCTTAAATGCCATACATTTGATGGAGTGCCAGTTTGACTACCTTTCTCTCCTTAATTGTGATTTCTATATTTTGTTTGTTTTATATTTTTCCCCTTTTGACACCTTAAATTTATTAAACTAAGGCATCACTTTGGGTCATTTCCATAAGTAAAATGGATAATACATAATGGACTAATGGCCTACATAAGTAGACTGTCCTATAATGTGTTTTCTTTTAGTCCTAAAGAAGCAAATTCAACTAGAATGAGTTACACATATAGATAGAAACTACACCTCCACTAGTCAACTAAATGCATTAGAACTGTTTTTAAATTAGTCTGGTAACTCGATTAACGAAAAGAAACCATTAGGCGTTATTGCTTTCTATAGCTATGTTATCTCTAGTAAGAACGTAAGTTGAGAAAGAAACACATTTTCTTGTATTATTATCTCATCAAATAGGATTAAATTCATATAATATGCTCTACATTAATTACAATATATTAATCAAATACTCAGTTGATAATTGTGGTGACCCCCTCCCAAAAATCCAATACACACACACTTCAAGTTTTTGTAGTCTGTTTGAAAAACATACCATAGAGATTGGTTATGGAATGAGAGATTGTAATTGTTGTGCAGACACCATTCCTACTTCCAGACATGTCTCCACCCAACAAAAGGGATGCCCTCTTTTGGTCTTGTAGCTTGTCTGGTTGTTTAATAAAATCTTTCTTAGGGGAAAAAAATATAGATTCTGATTCGTTGTTAGTTTTTTAATTTGATTAAAATATTTTGAAACTAATAGTTGGAAATTGACATGAATTTGTTCAGTGGATCTTGCAATGCTAACGGTATTATTATTCCATGTTGCAAAACAGTAGTCTATTAAACACTAAGAAGGCAGAAAATAAAATAAGCTGGGAGCTTGGCCATGATAAAGACTCAGAAGCATTCTTTGTTTCTACGTATATAGGTTTCTTGTCATTATGTTGTATCACAATTTTTTCAAACTACCATACGAGCTAGCTGTTAAACTCATAAGATAATGTTTTGCACAATTGGTGTTCTAACATGATATCTGAACTAAATTGACGAGTTAGGATTGATATCTTTAGTTAAAATCATTTCATAATAGGTTATGTTTTTGATGAATCAGTGTTATAACTAGTATCAGATATTCAAATTTGATAGATTTATTTTGTAAGGCATTTCATTGTTGTTCCCTACTTGCCTTACTTCTCAACCATAATAACTTATACACTTTTGTGATAATTGATATTCTGAGATTGATATTTTCTTATTCTTTCTTGTTTTGTTTCTTATGCTTTTATTGTTATACGGATATTGATATTCTTGTACATACATATGCCCTTATTGTTATGAATATATATTCTTTGTAGAACTTTATTTTTTCCCTTATATTACATCATATGTGCATGTCATATATTCAAAATTCAAATATCTTGGGCCAAACTGGGGTTTTTAGAGGGGGATTGTGGAGATTCACTATGACATTCAGAAATCATGTGGTCTTTGTCTATGTAGCCTTAAATTAGGAAATTGGGCCAAATTGGGGTTATTTGAAAATTGATTACATTTTTCTCCTTTTTTGTTCCGTACATATGGCGCAATGGTACGTAGTTGTACCATGTGATTGACTAGCACATGTACCACTGAAGTGATTCCTTAGTGTCACTTGTACTTCTAGTATATATATATATATATATATTAACTTAAATCTAAATCATACTAATTTAACATATAGAATTTAAAGAATATATAGAATGTAAATGTAATTTATATGTTTTTTGTATCAAAATTTTTTATTTTATAGTTTAATGATGTGTTTTCATACATTTGACTCTTTTTTCCCTGTTAGTTTTGTTGCTGTTTAGAGTTTGGCCTGCTTTAGCAATCTTGATGTCCAGAAAGCGCAATGTCCTTGTTGCTACAGGCTTGCTGGCTTTTGCAGCTGCAGGCTTAGCATTTCCTTTTTACATGGCGTAAGTAATTTTTTTTGCAATTTATTTAATAATGTCAACATTGTTGAGACTTAATTGTCTCTAATTATGTAACATTTTTTTTTTATTCCGGTAAAGTTATATTTATATAACATTGCTGCAATGGAAATTGCAATATGATGATTTGTTAAATCCAGGTCCAAGTCATCAAAGACACCTGTGATTGATTCATCAAAGCCACTACCACCTCAGGCGACTTTCCGAGGACCTTATATCAACACTGGTTCACGTGACGTTGGACCCGACCATCAAACTTACCCAAAGAAGTAATATATTTTGTGAAGATGCTAACTTTTTAGTAGTGGCAAGTACTTTGCATTTTTGTGTGGAATGAATAAGTGGTCCAACTTCTATACTTTCTCCATTGATGGAACTATGGATTGAGACTGTATAAGTTTAACGACATATTATTCAGGAAAAAAAAAAAAGGTTTAACGACGTATTACGGACTAGGGCACGGGTGGGATGGAGGTGTGGCGGTGTCAACAACTGTTATGGTGGATGAATCTCAATTGGTTTTTCCAACTTTTTTCTTCAATTATTTGTTTCTCTTAATGATTTGTTTGGGTTGAGTTACAAAACCTATAGCTTGAGGTAGAGGGTGAGCCAACGCCATGAAGGTACTATGGTCTTTTGCTCTTCTTGCTTGGACCAAGCTCTTATGTTATGTTGGCGTCTTGGTTCTCATGGCAAGGTTTTCTCATGGTGGGTGTCTTAGAAATGGAGTAATATATATTTGAAAACTCCGCAATGAATCCCTAAAACGAGGGGAGAGTGGTTAACAACAAGACAAACTAAATATATGGTATTTTAGTTCCGAAGACCAAGACTCAGTTGTTGTTGCTTACTGTAAACCTCTTTCAAAACAAACAATTATGACCCCAATAAACAATGATCATCATGATCCACAGTTTGTTGCAACTTGTACATCATCCACAGTTTGTTGCAATTTATACGTCATTTGTTGTTGTTAATTACTACTTGCCTATTAAACAATTCTCATGATCCACAGTTTGTATACATCATTTGTTGTTAATTACTACTTGTCTATTAAACAAGTATTGAAAATATGAAGTAATACTCTTTGTAAAGATTATCTTCCCTAGAGAAAATTATTGCCTTGATGTTTGACAAAGCTGCCGCTATTTTATTTTTTTATTTTTTTTAATGGAACTTTGTTGTTGTTAATTACTACTTGCCTATTAAACAATTCTCGTGATCCACAGTTTGTATACATCATTTGTTGTTGTTAATTACTAGTTGCCTATTAAACAATTATTGGTACTAGAAAATATGAAGAAGTCAATGGGATAAGCATCAGTAACATTAATTTCCCTTTTACAGTACCTCTTTAATCTGCTCCATCCACCTTACTACCAATTATAGTGAGTGAGTAGTATGGATGGAGGAGATTCAACATATCAGCCATGAACATCCCCATTGATCCTCCAAAATGATGCTGAGGATATATTCTGTTATGGGTGCGAAAAGTAGCGATCTGGTTCTTGTGGTCCAACTTTTGTTAATAAAAATAAATTAATGTATCATATACTATAGTATAATTTATTTAAATATTATTTGTAAATATAATATTTATTATAATAATCTATATATATATATTTATATAGTTTAATATCAAGAAAATAAAACTATAAAAGAACCTGATAAAGTCGAGGCTAGAATTTAATTCTATAGCCTTAAGACAGATACGCCCCGCTACGGTGCTAACGGACTCTTCGGCGTCTATCTCCCAGGATACAACGACTTTTCTTCCTTTGGTAGTAGCACTTCAAACCAATGGAATAGGCGAACCGGCTCGGTGTAGTACTCTCTGATGAACTCAGACTCGGAGACCAGGATTGAACCCTAACTCGGAAACCAAGGTTCGAACCCAATCCAAACCAGTTTAGGTTGACCCAAACCAGTGGCTAAACCGAACAAGAAGAATTAGAAGAAGAAATTCAGAAGAAGAGAAGAAGATTTCTGAATTTGGTGTGTAAAGAAATGAACCCAATGATGGGTATTTATAGGCTTGTTGGTGCCTATTCTCAATGGGTGCACCCATAGTCCGAATGGGTGCAACCATTGTTGACCAATCAGAATTAAAATTTGTTGGTGGTTTTTAATTTGCAAAGGGTGCAACCCTTGGTTCAAAATTTAAAACTGAATCCTTTTAATTCTGATCCAGCCCAGCCCTTAATTTCGTCCAGTCCAGCAAGCAAATAACCCAACTCGGCTATTAATTCAGCCCAGTAAACAGGCCCATTTTGATAAGTCCAGCAGCAAAATAAAATTACCACACAGGCCCATCCTAACTTTGGGTAAAAAGTTAAACCCATTTCACAATCAAGCCCCGCCCCGCCCTAGCCCGAACCGGACCGGGTCGGGTCGGGCGGGCGGCGCGCGCGTGTGGTAGTTGGTTCGGATCCAGGCTAGCCTAGGTCCTCCCCCTCTTAAAAACTTGGGTGCCCTTGGGCCCAAACCCAAATCCCATACTAGACATATATATACTCAAGGTTGCTTTGCTACTTTTTCGATGTGGGACAAGCATTTCCCACTTTATTCACACCCATTTAGGCTTTATAAATCACTTACTTTGGAGCCAATTTCTCATTCACCCGGAAACGGATTTGAGAAAATAAATATACCACGTTCATCTCCTCGCAGAGAGGAACGCGCTCATCAATAGATTCGCAAAAAATTCTTAGCGGAATCTTTTTAATAATCCTTCCAAAGCTTGCGTTTTCTAATGCCGTTTCCAACAATCCCCCACATGAATGAAAATTTTCGCAAATTACAAAAGGAGAAGATACAGACACTATAGAGAGTACTATTGGAAAGTTACTGCATCGGGATAGGTAGTTTTTGGCCTTGAACCTTCCCTAGTGTATTACTATCGGATTTACTAGCTAACCAGTGAACATTATGTCTTGAACTGTTCAGCCATTGATGTAAACCAAGACAATAGCAAACACACAATTCCTTCCCACACAAAGTCGGTTCTCACGGTTGTGTTCATATGGCCCTGAACAACGCCTGGTATTTCATGAGCGCTCCAGAAAACTTAGCCTTGGAAGTTCTCATAGAAGCGGCCCCACTTCACACTCATATAGGTGACTTCTTATTAAGAGTATCCTACCATACCCCACTTGAATTTTCAAGGTATAAGAGTCATTAAAAGCATAGCTTATCCTACTCATCGCTGTAGGTAACACTGTTTCATCATAGAAATGGGTAGAAGATTGAATCTTCCCAGTGCTTCTGGTGAGCCATTCAGAATTTCTGTTGTCCCTTTGAACCTAGATCTTGGGATCTCCAGTCAACTAGGTTGGGTTTCCATTAAGATGACTCGTTAGCTTTCGGCTTTAATCCCATTCCCCTCGATGAACTATATACTTGCTCTCTTGTCAAACCTTTTGTAAACGGATCCGCTAAATTATCTTTTGACCTGATATAATCTATTGAGATTATCCCACTTGAGAGCAATTGTCTAACGGTATTATGTCGTCGACGTATATGTCGAGACTTACCGTTGTACATATTACTTTGTGCCCTTCCAATTGCTGATTGACTATCACAATGTATACATATAGCGGGCACCGGTTTAGGCCAATTTGGAATATCTTCTAAGAAATTACGAAGCCACTCAGCTTCTTCACCTGCTTTATCCAAAGCAATAAATTCAGATTCCATAGTGGATCTGGCAATACAAGTTTGTTTTGAAGATTTCCAAGACATGGCACCTCCTCCAATAGTAAAGACATAGCCACTTGTGGATTTAGAATCCTTAGTATCTGATATCCAATTAGCATCACTGTATCCTTCAAGTACAGCTGGATATCTAGAATAATGTAATCCATAACTTATAGTATATTTTAAATACCTTAGAACCCTAATTATTGCAGTCCAATGGTTCTTTCCTGGATTACTAGTATATCTACTCAATTTATTAACTGAGTATGCTATGTCTGGGCGTGTGCAATTCGTCAAGTACATTAAGCTTCCTATAATGCGAGAATACTCAAGTTGTGATATGCTAGGACCAGTATTTTTCGATAAATGAAGATTTACATCAACAGGAGTCTTTACAAGACTACTATCCCCTTTATTAAACTTTTCTAATATTTTCTCAATATAGTGAGATTGAGATAATACTAGACCATCTGATGTTCTAGAAATCTTAATTCCTAGTATGACATCTGCTATGCCTAAATCTTTCATATCAAAATTTTTGGTCAACATCTTTTTAGTAGTTTTGATTATAACATCATTACTACCCATTATTAGCATATCATCCACATATAGGCACACAATGACATATCCATTTTGAGTGTTTTTCACATACACACATTTATCACACTCATTAATTTTAAAACCATTTGACAACATCACTTTGTCAAATTTTTCATGCCATTGTTTAGGTGCTTGTTTTAATCCATATAAGGATTTTACAAGTTTGCACACCTTCTTTTCTTTCCCTGGAACTATAAACCCTTCAGGTTGTTCCATATAGATTTCCTCCTCTAATTCACCATTTAAGAAGGCAGTCTTAACATCCATTTGATGTATTTCTAAGTTTTGCAGTGCTGCAATAGCTAGTAACAATCTAATGGATGTTATTCTTGTGACTGGTGAATATGTATCAAAATAATCCAGGCCTTCTTTTTGCCTATATCCCTTAGCAACAAGTCGGGCTTTATATTTTTCAATTGAACCATCAGGCTTCATCTTCCTCTTGAAAATCCACTTATACCCTAAAGGTTTAGTACCAGGAGGAAGATCCACCAACTCCCAAGTATGATTTTGCATGATGGATTCAATTTCACTATTTATGGCTTCTTTCCATAAATTAGCTTCAGGAGAAGACATAGCTTCCTTGTAGCTTTGTGGCTCATTCTCCAATATATATGTCAGAAAGTCAGGACCGAATGACTTAGACGTTCTAGCTCTTTTGCTACGTCTAGGTTCTTCCTCATTTTTATCATCTATAGACTCTTGGTCTATATTCTCTTGTATATTGCTATTAGCAGTATCATAATTTCTTTTAAGAGGATTTTTGCAAGGAAATATATCCTCAAAGAAATAAGCATTCCTTGACTCAATAATTGTATTGACATGGATATCAGGAATGTCTGATTTATGCACAAGAAAACGATATGCACTACTATTCTGTGCATAGCCTATGAAAATACCATCAAAGGTTTTTGGTCCTATCTTAACTTTCTTAGGAGTAGGAACCGCAACCTTAGCTAAACACCCCCACACTTTTAAGAATTTATAGGAAGGTTTTTGACCTTTCCATAATTCATAAGGTGTCACATTTGATTTCTTTTGAGGTACCTTGTTGAGAACATAATTAGCAGAGAGTAAAGCTTCCCCCCACAAATTCTGGGTTAAACCAGAACTTATCAACATAGCATTCATCATTTCTTTTAAGGTACGATTTTTGCGTTCAGCAACACCGTTCTGTTGAGGTGAATAAGGAGCGGTAGTCTGGTGAATAATACCATGTTCTGAACAAATGTCAGCGAATGGTATTTCGTATTCACCACCTCTATCACTTCTAAACATCTTTATCTTTTTTCCAAGTTGATTCTCAACCTCATTCTTGTAATGTTTAAACATTTCCAAGGCTTCATCTTTACTTCTTAACAAGTATACATAACAATATCTTGTGCAGTCATCAATAAAAGTAACGAAATACTTTTTCCCACCTCTAGTTGGCACAGATTTAAAGTCACAGATATCACTGTGAATTAATGCTAGAGGTTCAGTACTTCGCTCTATGGAGTGAAATGAGGTTCTAGTCAATTTTGCTTCTACACATGTTTGGCATTTTTGATTTAAATCAATATTAAATTTAGGTATAGATTCCATGTTAACCAATCTACGAATAGTATCATAATTAACATGTCCTAACCTACCATGCCATACATCAGATGAGTCAATAATATAAGCAGAAGAAGCACTAGCTTTATTATTATCATTAATAGCTTTGGGTACAACAGTCATTACATTGAACTTAAATAGTCCATTACT